TGCATACAAGGAAAGACTTTGCAAATCCCTTGTTCCCTGAGGCAGGCTTTGCAACTTCCTCAGGGGGCAGCCTGACCTGGGAGCAGCCCGATTTTCTGGACCACAACTGTTTAGTTGCAATCCTTCAGTTAAACTGCCCCCAAGGCTGAGACCTTCAGTTTAGTTGATCCCAACACATATTTGTGCCCATTCCAAAGAGAGATAACTCAATGAAATGTGGAAATCATCTAGCAATATCATTTATATCACATGCAAGTAAAATTTTGCTGAAGAGAATTAAAAAATGGTTGCACCATTACATCGACAAAGAACTGCCAGAAATTCAAGCCAGGTTTAGAAGAGGACATGGAATGAGGGAAGTCATTGTTGATATCAGATGGATCTTGACTGAACACAGAGAATATCAGAGCTTTATAGACCATGCAAAGGCTTTTACATTTGTGGATCATTACAAGGTATGGATAACATTGCAAAGAATAGGCATTCCAAAACACTTAATTGTGCTCATGAGGAACCTGTACAAGAACCAAGAGGAAGTCGATCAAACAGAATAAGGATATAGAAATAATTTAAAATCAGGAAAGTTTTATGCCAGGGTTATTTCTTTCCACCATACTAATTCAATCTCTATGCTGAGCAAACAATTGGAGACACTGGATTATATGAAGAAGAAATTGGGATTGGGATTGGAGGAAGATTCATTAATAATCTGCAGTATGCATGATAGAACCTAGCTTGCTAGAAGCAAAGAGGATTTAAAGTACTTACTAGTGAAGATTATAAAAACAAACAAACAACTGCAACCTCCAGTATGGATTGTACCTCAATGTAAACAAAACAAAACTCTTCACAAGTAGGCCAATAAATACTATCATGATAAGTGAAGAAAAGTTTGAAGTTGTCAAAGACTTCATTTTGCTTGGATCCAAAATCAATACTCATGGAAGCAGCAGTCAAGCAATCAAATGACTGACATAATGCATTATGCAAATCTGATGCAGAAGCCGTCTTTAAGTTGCTCAAGAGCAAAATATTAGGTTGAGGACTAAGGTGCATTTGACCCAAGCCAAGATATTTCCATTCATCTTATATGCATGTGAAAGTGGGATAATGAATAAGGAAGACCACAGAAGAATTGATGTATTTGATTAAATAGTGTTGGAAAAGAATATTAAATGTACCATGGACTGTCAGAAGAACAAAAAATATCTGTGTTTGAAGAAATACAGCCAAAATGCTCCTTAGAAACCAGAATGGCAGCACTTCATCTCTCATACTTTGGACATATTATCAGGAGGGACCAGTCCATGGAGAAGGACATTATGTTTGGTAAAGTTGAGGGTCATCCAATAAGATGGATTGGCACAGTGGCAACAGCAATAGGCTCAAATGAAACAACAATTGTGAGGATAGTGCAGGACTAGGCAGTGTGTTGTTCCTTTGTACATAGAATCACTATGAGTCAGAACCAATTGGATGGCACACAACAATGGCAAAATATATATCTTAAAACTGAGTATATCATAAGTGTCTCAGTGAGTTACATGGTTTATTGAAAGACAAGTATTTAAAGACTTGTCAAGCTCACACCTATTATTTATCAGAGAAATGCAAATCCAAACAACAACATATTTTTTTACTGTCATTTTATACCTATTAGATGATGAACTTTCATTTACGATACAAGATTCATATGGCATATGAGATACCTGCAAGTAGGAGTTGCCCTGAGGGTGAACAATGCAGCATTCTACTTCTGTAAAGATTTACAGTCTTGGAAGTCCTATGGAACAGTTTTATTCTTCTTTTATAAGGTCACTATGAGTCAAAATTGCCTTGATGACAGTGGTATTTATTACTATTAAAACAGAGCCTCAATATATTGTAGGATTCAACAATTGCTGAATCAATAAAAAAGAATCAGTAAGCTAGGTAATGCCAGCATTGGTCGAGATGTGGGGCTACAGAAGCCCTCACAGCTGTAAGAGAGTTAACATAGAGCAGGATATTGGAAAGCAACCTAGAACCATTTAGTACACACAAAACATATGACCCAACATCCTCTATTGGGAATGGATACTAAAGAGTTTCTCATTTAGGGTCATTAGTGTACTTGTACTAGGAAGTTCACTGCAGCTATACAGTTATTCTCTAATTATTTAACTGAGGTTTATAAAGTATATTCTCTTACGTTAACTCTTTTGATTCTCACAACCCTCAGGGGCAGGTCAGGGATTATTATTCCAATTTAAAAGAGAAAAATTGAGACTCTAAAGACATTGCCTTTTTCTTAGTGAAGTTTTAAAAAGTAGTAGAGTTGAGACTAGAACACAGGACAACTACCTCCAAATCCAGGATACTTTTCAAGTGGCTGTGCTACTAACACTATTTTCATGCTGAAAAGACACAGTGTTAATTATGTGTATGTGAATTTGATGCAATAGAAGGTGAAGAGTGGTAAATGGACAGTCTCCTTAAGCACCCTGTAGGCTAGTATGCAATGATTTTGAAAGGGGAAAAGGGAACGGAAGCATCTGTTGGGGAACTATGTTCTACCTGCAAGTTCCCATGTTTGAACAGAAGAGCTCGTTTTTGTCAATGAATGGGTTGTGGTGCAGACACCCTGTTCAGCTTCCAAGCCTAGAATGGCCACATATGCATCTGGAGAAGGCACAAATCCTCCGAAGGGAGGCTTCTTCCATCTGTGACACCTTGAACATTTTCCACACACCACTATGTCAGGCATTCTGCCATACTGAATCTTGCATATGGGGTGGGGTGAGGCATCCAATGTGGCTTTGGGTTACAAACAGGAAATTTAGTCTCCATGAACATGCTCAGTTTGAGAATTTTTTTAAGTGTATTGTCTACATATTTTCAGATTCAAACAAAATTAGTTTATAAACCTTAATATTTCCCCTAATTTAAAAAGATTAAATACATTATGATTCATTTAAAATAAATTTATCTTATACACAAACTCTAAACACTTTCTCAAAATTCCTTGTCATGAACACTATTGGACAAGCCATGACTTTCTAAGATGTGATTTTTTTTTTTTTTTCTTCCATGTGGACTCTTTAGAAATTTTTCTGTTTTGGGTAACACAATGTAATATCTTGGTGTGATACTGTAGGGTAAGCACTAGACTGCTAGCTGCAAGGTCAGTGGTTCAAACCCATCAACTACTCATTGGAAACCCTATACAGCCTTGCTATGAGTCAGAACTGACTAGACAGCACTTAATAACAACAAGTAATAAATATCTATTGATTTTTATTCTTTAATTTTTAAAAGATGTACTAAAGTCTCTTTTTACTACCATTAAATGGGTAGAATCTTTCAATATTACATAGTTATTATAAAAATGCAAATCTGAAATAGCAACTCCTGTTTTTATTGTTTCAGTTGTTGTTAAGTGCTGTCGAGTCAGTTCTGATGCATAGTGATCCTGTCTGTATATATAGGGTGTCTGAGGTGCGGCTGGTGGAACTGTTGACCTTGTTGGTTATGGAAATCTTGACTTTCTTCCCCTATAAATCTGTAAAATAACATGGTCAAACAGTTCATTTATCTTCATAAACATAGCATTTTGTTTCTAATATGAAAAATTCATTTTAAAGCACTGGTATATAGATAAACAATACAGTGGAAAAATAAAACGGAGCTCTCTCGTAGCATAGTGATTACAAATTGGGCTGCTAGCCACAAGGTCAGCAGTTCAAAACTACCAGCTGTTATGTGGGAGAAAGATGAGGCTTTCTGCACCCGTAAAGATTTACTGCCTAGGAAACCCTGTACAGGGTCACCATGAGTTGGAACTGACTCCACGGCACATAACCACCACCATGATTTCACTACCCAGACACAACCAACATCCAAATGTTACTGTCTTCTTCTAGTAGAATGGGCATAGCTCTGTACTTGTATGCCACTCAATACGTTGGTATGTGTATGTTTGATGACCAAGGGATAAGTATTAAATAACTCATGAGTCGTAATGATAGTTTACAAATCAATTTTGTCTAATTTTTTTTAACCTTCATTCTTTCTGCAAGAAACACATTTTTTTTCATTTTTCTTTTTTTAAAAAACTTCATTCTTTCTGCTAGAAACATATTTTTTCTCAAAGCTTGACACCTGAAATCAGTGTTTCACAGAAGTGTCGATGTTCCCAGTTCTGACACGAGCAAACAGCAGAGCCCAGTCTCAAATTCAGTTTCCCCAGCATCTCAATTCTTACTGTTCTTCCCATGATAATCCAAATACTTTATGTCTTTGTATTCCTGCTGCATTTTGGTCCTTTTGACTAAATTGAAAATGATTCCAAAAGTTTGCTTTAAAACGCCCTCAAAGTGTTACTAAATTAACATTAAGTCTCAAGGATACATTTCTGAGCAATTAGTTTTGGTTTTGCCCCAGCAGAACACCTCACAGATGATGACGAAGAAAAAGTATTTACATACTATTATAGTGCATTTCTTGTAAAAATGTTGGGTCTGTAGCAGCGATTTGCTAATCAAATTCAGAATTTGATTTGAAATGCCTCCGGCAGGCAGCCAATCTTGTTATGAAAGAACAGAAGCAAAAACCAGAGCCCTAGTGAGTTCCTTCCAGAAGCTAAACTGGGTTTTTTGCTCTCATTGGAAACTGGTTTCATAGGAAATCGCTCCTAAAATAAAGTATTGTAGTTATTTTTTTCAATAAATTATTGAACCGTACTAGACACAAAACATGTACATTTCTGAATCTAGAGTTTTAAAATATTCTGACATGTTTTAATATAAACAGGGACATTTCCAATGATTGCTTGGATCTAAAATGTTTTTCCACTTGACATTTGTTTATACTTCCTAGGAAAGAAACTCTATTTATGGATAACTGAATAACACAAATAAACATCAGAGAGAGCTGAAAAATCAGCTTTGATTATGCATGAAAATCTACAATGTCATTATGTACTCTTATGCCGTATTCTGATTGCTTGTTTATTTTTACAGAACTGCTGGTGAGCCTATGGAAGAAGAGCCAACTTTGTGAAGTGCCAAGCCCCCCCTGATATTTCCTGTGTGTGACATCATTGTGTATCCCCTACCCCAGCATCCTCAGACATGTCTTGTCTGCTACCTGGGTGGCACAGATTCGATGGAACATAAACACTGGGCACAAAATTCTGAACAGCAGCTTCACTTGTTCTTTGGATAGACTTGAAAGGGCATTAAAGATTCCTTAAGACGTAACCGCTGTGATTCTAAAGTTACAGTAAACCACGATGGGAAGAAACTGCTTCCAGCATGCTTTAATATGCTGGTTGATCCACTCACGGGCCCAAAGCATGAACTAGAAGGATCCAGTGCAGCATTAGATACTGTTAATTACAGAAGCTATGACAGCCTGCAAAATTTGGGGCAAAACCTGATAAATACACATTTATGACGATCAGTATTTTATTGGATAATTTTAAAAAACCAGTCTTAAATTGTTTACAGGATTTGCTTTCAGCTATGAATGGTTAGCGATTCCATACAGATTACTTTTTTCCTCTTTTGATCTTTTGTTTTAACATACTGTTCAACTCTGGATAGTTCAAGATGGAGCAAGTGAGATGAGGCTTTTTTTTTTTTTTTTTTTTTAGTGAAGAAAACCACATTGTAGCTCAAAGTTCAAATGCCAAAGGAACCTCACACACTGTATATAATGGTGCAATATTTTATGTCACAATTTTTAAGAAAAATTCTTCTGTTTTCTTGACATTCCCCCTCTGTGTTCTCACACATGGGCGGTTTGCAATTGTATTTGAGTGTGATGTCTCCCTCCCCCACATGCATCCCTTGTCCTGATAACAGTAGTTTTAAGCATGTGTTCCATGGGATTTTTAGTGCATAACTTTTCAAAGATGGTCTTAATTTGTTGCAAATTTATCTCTCTCTTTTCATTTTCTGTTCTTCACTGTTTCTTTTCTTCTTACCTTCCATTCTCCCTCCCTCTAGTGAAGCTCAAGATTACCCATAATCTCCCATTTCTCATGACTTTAAATATTTAGTTAATTTTGTTTACTTTCCAGGTTAACAGAGTTGCTTTACCCAATTGTCTTCTTTTTGCTGTGAAACTATTGAGATGAATACGGTTTAAGTGATGCCCTGAATTTACTAAATCTTTGCAATGTGTTAGTGATGGCATCGCCTATTGGAAGTCACGTTGAACTCAGTGAACCTAGAGTTGTGCCTTCGTGTGAAAACAGCAGCAACAACAAATCTTTACGCATGTTGTCCTAGTGTCAAAGGTTAAAAATAAAGGAAATTTCTTTTCAGAAATTAAAAGGAACTTTCTAAATATAAGTTGGGTATCCCTCTATTTCCCTAAATTCTCTCTCAATGTAGAACTCAAGCTTAACGACTTTAAAGTAGAATGTCTTGCATTATTTAATATCTGACAATGCTTTTGAAAGAGTTGATGTTTCTTTTTATATGTTTTCCTAACTCAAAGGATATATTAAAGCCATAAGTGAAGATTGTCATGCTTTTATTCAGAAAGCTGAAAGAAACCTTAATTAAAACAAGGTTTTAGGGAAAGCTATGATATGAAAGATATGGAACAATATGGTTTTAGTTAGAGAGGACTCTAACCTGTAAATCAAAGATGAAAGATTTCACTCAAGTAGAATTATATAACTCCTTTTTTTCATATAGTCAGACCATATTTTAATGCATTTACTTTTTTTTAGGATTATCATTTTAATTTTTAAGACTTTTATTACATATCAAAAAATGTCTCAACACTTGGTTCACCATTTTAGAAACTTGAGACATTCCTTGAAACAAGAAATCCAAAATGGAATGTAACTCAGTATTATGTAAAATTTACTTTCATTGTATAAGGATAAGATCAATCTAGATTACAAACAGTAATGAATTTTGGTTGTTGTAAATTTCATTTTCATGACATTTTCAGACAAATTCATGTTCTTGCTATTTTGCCATATTTGTTCTTTCTATTTTGCCATTATTTCATGGAGAAATTTATTTTAAACAAACCAAACAGCAGAGCCAGAGGCTTAAAATAAAAGACATCCCCCTTTTACAGAAAGTGACATCATATTTCAATTGTAAATGTAATAAGTATTAAAATTAGCTTCATCATTACAATTCATTATTACTCTGCAGGCCTCCCGGATATATTTTTTTAAGATGTTCAATAAGAAAATGAATCCGTGTAGTGCAAACATACTAATTCACTAAAGTTTCCTACAACAATTTAGCCACATACTTATGTTGATCCATCCATCAGATAAGCCAAATCACTAGGACAAGCCCATGGTTATTTAGATTTAAAACATGACACATTAATGAGTTAATCACACATCCTTCCATATGATAGGGTACCCAGTTGATTGCAGTTAGAGTCTTTAGGATACTGAGAGAGGCAGATAAGCCATGGAGAGGATTAATCACAGCTGAATTTAGTTGTAAGAATAGAATGCCAGTGCTTTTTGATTATACCATTACAAGATGTAGCATAGCCCTGGGGACAGAATGAAGGCTTTTGGAGAAAATCAACACTTGATTTGAAATGGGCCAGCACTTTTTGAAAGGGTAGTTTCACTTGGTATAGTTTTCTTCACTTAGTCATTTCATTTTAATTGCTCACAATAATTCTCAATAGGAGATTATTAAGGGATCCCCTCTGTAGGCGTTATCAGCTTGAACTGATTCATTCCAGTTTGACATTGCTGGGAATTTGCATTTCCACTCCAAATATACTGAATCAGAAGAAGCTCTAGAGCATAGTGGTTCTGAATTGGGCTGCTAATCTCAAGGTCAGCAGTTTGAAATGACCAGCTGTTCCGCGGGAGAAAGAGGAGGTTTTCTGCTCCTGTAAAGATTTATAGCCTTGAAAACCCCATGCAGGGTTGCTATGAGTCGAAACCGATTCCACGGCACACTATCACCACCACCACAATACTAAATCAGAAACTGAGGCTCTTGTTAATTCTGATCCGGTATATTTGGAGTGATATACAAAATTTCAGCAGGGATTCAAACCAGCATGAACCCCATTGAAGCTCTGAGTTTATATCTTTCTGATCCATACTTTGAAGGATACCCACATAGGCTCTCTTACTACCTTAAAATAATTCTTCCAGGATGAGCAAATACAACTTTCTGGGAGACAGCTATTTAGTAAATAATGATAACAGTTTTCATTTGTATTTATGTAACTCTAAATAAGATTTAATTCAATAGGATTAAATTAAATAGGGGATAAAAAAAAGAATCCAAAGAAATTTCATTTTATCAATTGTAAACTATGATATTTGAAACAAGAAAATACAGTTTTATTAGATAGCAAATGAACCTCAAATGGAAGTTGTTGTTGTTAGCTGCCATTGATTGGATTCTGACTCATGTCGATCCCATGTGTGCAGGTTGCCAGGACTTTCTTCTGTGGTACTTTGGGTTACGTTTGAACTGCCAACATTGACTCTAGTAGTGAAGCACTTAACTGTATGTACCACCAAGGACTTCTTACATGGTAAATAGAGGTCATGTCATCATATTGTTAGAAAAATATTTTGAAATGAGACATGTGAAGTATTTTAGCAAATTTACAACAGAAAAACAAAACATTGTGGTTGTATCTATTTCAATTCACAATGACCATATAGAATAGATTAAAAATGCTCCATAGAGTGTCCAAGACTGTAAATCTTTTATAGAAGCAGGCTGCCACATCTTTCTGCTGACAACAGTAATGTTGGTGTTAAGTACTGTGGAGTCGGTTTGGACTGATAGTGATGCTGTATAGGGTTTCTGAGGGACAGCTAATGAGGTTGAACCACTGACCTTGCAATTCAAATTGACCCTGCAGTTCAAAAAGACCTTGTGACACAGTGCTTATTCTATAGTGCCATAGTGGAGCTAAAAGTCCACTTTGGTAGACTATAGAGATATTTATGGAAAAATGCAGATCATTACCAATCAGAAGATTGGCTTTTGTTGTTATTACCCTCCAACACAAGACTCATGTCCTCTCCGTCTTTCTCTTCCAATTTCTCTCTCCTTCTCACTTTCTCTCTTTTTCTTTCTCTCTCACACGGTAGTATTGAAAACAAAACATTTCCTCACATCTAAACTGGCACTGTGGGTTAATGTGCCAGACTGCAAAGCCGTTTGAACTGCAAGGTCGGCAGTTCAAACTCACCAGCTGCTCCTTGGAAACCCTATACAGGGTCGCTATGGGTCGGAATCGACTCGACGGCACTTGACAACAACAACAACAAACTCCAGAAACTATAGGACTGGTCTCTCTAGACAGTTCAGGACTGTTTTATTTCTGAAGGTCAATCATAAAGCCTTATGGATTTACTGTTTCTTTAGAGACTCCATATAGAGGTAAAATAGAATGATTAGGTGGAAAGTCTCCTGAGAGAAAAATTCTGTTCAATCAACACTTTTATATTTGTTTCTTTTCCTAGCATTTCAGTTTAGGGCATTTTACTTACATATTTCTGACTATTTACCTTTCAACATATAGTTTCAATTCATTTTACTGAAAGAAGTATTAAATGGCTAATAACCCCAAAACAAACAAGCCAAAAGTTCTCATCTTAAGAGAGATTCCTTCTGAGCTCAAAATAATCACTCAATATGAGATTTACATTGTCATTCTGATGGAATCTATGCTAACATTCTTTTCCTGCATCAGGAATGAAATTATTTGACCTACTGAGAAAATAAGAAAAGGGAAACATAAAATTGAGCACAAGTCAGAAACAACACACCTGTTTGATAATTTTTATAAACAGGCGATTTTCACCTCCAAAAGAAATGAAAACCAGATCAATGCCAAAAAGAAAGCATTTTACTGTTGTCTCCAGAATGATCATCAACATAGTGTCACCATCAAATCTGTCTTGTGTTCTCACAGGACACAATCCTCCATCAGTATTTGGTACTATGATGAAGTATTTCATCACCTTCTTCAACGCCATTGCTGAAATATACAAGTGTCTATTTGTGTGGCTTCTTTTTCAGGACATATTTACATTGCAAATCATAATTCTTACCCTCTACCGGCTTGCTGTTATTCTCTCAAATGCTTCCTGAAGTACAGAATGATTGTCATGTGGCCAAGGTCTAAATTTTTTAACCTGAACGTGGTCTACTCTTACCGAGTTGAAGACCTTCGCTCCCCAAAATCAACTTCAGTCCGTTTTTATATGACACTTAAGGCTCAGTTTATGGGATGGAGTAAGCAACAACTGAGTCAGTTTTTAATATGCAGGAAATAGTTGGATCAAATGATGGAACCTTACACTTGATATGGGACTGTTTAGACTTGATCCCAATAATAGAGTTCTTAAAAAAAATCTTAGCTCCCAAACTGAAGCATGGTAAATTCACTGTACAGTGCCAATCTTTCTAACCAATAATTTCCTCACCACCCTTTTTTCCTTTCCCCCTCTCAACTGCCAACACCAAACAGTCATGCATAAACAATTAGAACAATTGCTTAAATCCTTACTGTGTTTCCGAAGCAAAAATGACGATGGTGTTTTATATTTTGTACAACACCAGTAGGCACACTTTCCTTCATATTATTTTATATAAAAACTGAT